TGTTATTCCTCAAAACATACCAAGTGTAACTTTTAAAAAAAAAAAAAAAAATTGATTTTTTAAAAAATATATATAAAAAAGTAAAGAGATGATATGACTTAAAAAACTAAAAAGCCAATAAATTAACTTTTAACCTAGTTACGAAAAGAGGCCTAACTTTTACGCTTGGTTTTGTTCTATTAAGCCTTTGTTTGGGATGTGGGTTAGCTTTTTAACTTTTTGGCTCTTTGACTATTTTAGTGTAGGGCTAAAAAGACGCGTTTGGAATAGACTTTTTGATTTTTTTGACTTTTATGAGAGAAAAAATGAAATGATTATGATTTAAATGTAACATTTTATCTTATTTACTTTTTAGTCTATTTTATCTTTTTTTGACTAAAATAACCAAAAACAACCATGCCAAACATAGCCTAACTAACCACTCGGCAAATGTTATCCCATTTTTAAAGTTCCCCAATGGAAAAGCCTATGGTGTGCATGTGTACCCAATTCTAAATTGGAAAATTTACCCATAAGTCCTAGTTTTTGAAAAGTTGAACCATTTAGTCCTAAAAATTTTTTTATGCTTCATTTAGTCCCATTTGCACATCAATTTAATGTTCGAAACATTAATCTGATGTTCGAAATCTAATGTTCGAAACATTAATCTGATGTTTGAAACATTGTAATGAGACCTTTCAGTCTATTAGAAAACTTTTAGGACTAAACATTGTATAAGTTATTAATTTGGGATTTATTGGTGCATCCCCCATTCCAAATTGTTATAATTTTATTATAAAATTAATTATAAAATAAGTTCTCATCACAAATTAACGTAATAAAAAATATCATAAGTTAATCACAAATTTTTGTAACATAAATTATAAAATTTTGGATATTTTGTTACGTTAATTTGTGACAAGATTATGAATTTTATGATTCACGTGATAAAATTTTGTCAATTTATGATAGGATGGATATAGTATAGGCTTCCCTCATCAATGACGTGTACTTGTCAAAGCCTAGTTGATGAGTGTTTATTGGATGTTTCCGATGTATGGCCACATAATGCTCTAAAATGTTGTAATTGATGGAAAAGGTAAATCTATAATTTTATATATGATGATTAATATTAGAACATGAACACGTAACACTATAAGAGCATTGGATAATTTTTCCTAGCTGACACATTAAAGAGGTGACGTATCCACCTACGCATCCTCGCTTACGCCGATGGATTTTTTCAGCTTAGATGAAAAAGTAAGAGCATCTGCAACAGTGCATCAATTTTTTCATCAAATTTAAGTAAAAATTTGAGTACAAGCTTCATTTATATCAAGTGCTCTAACAGAAAATTTTGAAACCTTATCAGAACACCAGTTGACCAGGAGGATGTTTGACTAGTTGACCAGTTAGTGTAAATTTTTCTTTTTTTTTTTGCCCTGAGGTGGTCTACCGGTCGGGCAACTAGCCAGTGCAATTTTTTCACAAATTTTTGCTTTGAGGTGGTTATCTAGGAGGATATCTAGGAGGACATCTGACAACAATAATGAACAGTGATTTGGTAAAAGGCATATTTGTCCTTAGTTTGATGAAAGAAAAATGAAATTCTCAATTTGATACAATGCAATCGTTAGAGCAACAGTCAAACTCGTTTTTCATTAAATTAAAGATTTGAGTAACAATTGGAGATGGTCTAAGTTGGAAATAAATTTTTGTTTTCATATTCTTTTTTTAATTAGCTCTTGTGTTGTTTATATTTATCAAAGGAGAAATATTAAATAAGTGATATTTATTATTAAAAAAAAATACTTTGTTTCAAAATAATAGTCTTTTTTGAAAAATTTAACCTTTTTTTAAGTACAATTAATTTCAAAAATATTAACTTTTTAAAATTATTCTTTGACTTTTTTTCAAAATATCAATTGTCATAATTAATGAATTTAAAAGAATGATAAAATAAAAAAATTCATATTATTTTAGTTCTATTTTTTAAAAAGGGATTAATATTTTGGGATAACAAGAAATAGAATAAGGGATTAATATTTTGGGATTGATGAAACACAATTTAGTGAAAAGTTTTATAAATATTAATAATTTAAATTATAAACTTTCTCATAATTTCGTAATTATTTTTTGAGAGGTCCACTTAATTGTAATTTCCCCTTTATTAAATATATATATATATATATATTATTTAATTTTTTCAATATAATAAAATTAAAACCCAAAATGCTATATTTATTCATCTTTACTAATTTATTTATGATCTTACATTGGTATTGTTTGGCAAGTTCGTTTGTGGCTAAAATAGCCACAAAAGACAAAATAGGCTATTTTAGCCACAACAAACAAAACATCACTTCCAACTTATAATTATTACACTCTTCTCTCACAAAAAAAAGTCAAAAAGTTCTTCACAAAATCAAGCTTTTTAGCCCAGGCTAAAATAATCAAAAAAGTCAAAAAGTCAACCCACTTTCCAAACGGAGGCTTAATATATTATGTTATGTATAATTTTGAGAATAAAGAACAAATACACTCTTAAGATTTGTTTAAAATACAAATTGCATCCCATAATTTTAGAAATTACATTCTATCTTGGGTAAATTACAAACACACCTCCTGAAATTTACTTAAATTACAAATTATCCCTGTATTTTAGAAATTACATTATAACCCTAAGGTTTCTAATTTCATAACAAATACATCCTTTTATTAATAAATCATCAAGTTAATTAACCGTTTTTAATAATGTTAAAATTTTATTTCAATTAATAATTCAGATAATTTTATTATTGTATAGATGAACAGTTAAAAATTTTATTTTTTCAATTAATTTCGTTAAATAAAAAATTCTAACAGGGATGTATTTGTAATTTTTCAAACCACAGGGGGCAATTCATTTTTTAAACAAACCTCAGGGAGTGTATTTGTAATTACCCTTTAAATTTTTAATCACATAATAAATGACCTTTTTATTAAAAATATGAAATCAATTATCAATTTTTAATCATCTCATAAATATATTTCAATTAATAATTTTGATTAATTTATTATTGTATAGGAAAGTAATTGTGAATTTTATTTTTTCCATTAATGCTGTTAAATAAAAAAAATTCTAACTAGGGGATATTTGTAATTCTTAGAACCACAAGGGACATTCCATATTTTAAATAAACTTCAAAAAATATATTTGTAATTTATCCTAATTTTTATTAGTATTTATATTTTTTAGGGCAAATTACATATACTTCCTTCGAGGTTTAGCTAAATTACAAATACCTCCATGAGGTTTCGGAAATTACAGATACCCCCTTGAGGTTTATATTTTCATAACAAATTACCTCTTAAAATTTATATTTTCATAACAATTTACCCCCTAATTTGTTATACAAATAGTGCTTTCAAGGAGGTATTTATAATTTCTCAAACCTCAAAAAATATCTTTAATTTTACTAAATCTCGAGGGATATTTGTAATTTGCCCTATTTTTTAAGTTATACAATTAGCTCGCTTCTATTCCACTCCTGGCTCATTCCTGTCCCCAACCAAGTTTTCAGATATGATATGGGACAGGGCCTGGGACCACGTACAATCTTGCCCTAAAGCCGACATGTTGCCTTCCCTATACACAAAATTAAAATACAAAAAAACAAAAATACTGTAGGCACATTGTTAGGTTTAAATTTAATTTAATAAGGTTACTTACATTTTTAATCTCTGAAGTATAAGTTTTGTATGATATAAGCTTTGTATGATTTTAATTTTTAATGTTTAAATTGTATTAATTTAGTCCTCAATGTTCAAATTGTGTCAATTTTATTTCTCAATGCAAAAAAGGTGTTTCAATATTTTCATATTTCTTCTTCCTGAGTGTTTCTCGTTTTCTTGGATTGTTTGGACTCCTGCAAGTGCCGTTTGGCTTCTTTGACATATTTCTTCCAATAAAAAAAAAAAAAAAAAAGTCTCCCAGCCACATTGACACAATTTAAATAGGGTGAATTACACGAATAGTCCATATAGTTTGGTGCTTGTGTCACTTTATTCCCTGACTTTTCAACTGTGATACATTTGATCTTGAATTTTGAATATTGTTTCAAATAAGGACAATTGAAGATATCATTAGATTTTTTAAGGGTAAAATCGTCAATTTGATAAAATATAAACTAATTTGACAAAAATAAATGTCAAACAAATATTTTTGAATTTTTAAAAATTATTTCTACCTACTAAAAATAAAATTATGTAAAATTGATAATTTTTTTAGACATTTATTTATTTTTTTTACCAAATTAATTTTTATTATGTATTTGGATGATGATCATGTAAAATTAATTTTAAAAAATTAATCATTTAATTTTTATTAATTTTTATCAATTTTACGTAATTTTATCATGTGGATAAAAATAATTTTTAAAAAATTAAAAATACTTTTTTGAGATTTATTTTTATCAAATTAATTTATATTTTATTAAATTGACGATTTTGCCCTTGAAATTGAACAATGGTATCTTCAATTGTCCTTATTTAGAACAAGATTCAAAATTCATGGTCAAATATGTCACAATTGAAAAGTCAGAGACCAAAGTGACACAAGTCCCAAACTATAGAAACTATTTATGTAATTTGCCCATTTAAATATTAGTGATGAAATTGAAATACTTTTATACAGTAGGGATCAAGTTAACATAATTTAAATATTAAGAACCAAGATGGCACCCGTATTTTGAAGGTAAAAAATGTAATCTAACCTTTTTAAGTATGATTCACATCTCCCGTAAGATGAATTTCACCCACACATCATACTTTCTCAGCAATTTATTTATATTTTAATGCTAGAGGGGCTTTCCATGTGGCCCTTTGAATTCTCAAAATTAAGATTCAAATGAGCATTTGGAAGCCGTTCAAAACAAATTCTTTAAAAATGACTCAAAATTTAGAATATGTTTGTTAAAGAATTTCATATTACATTTGCTTTCAATCAAGTACAACAACCTTACTGGAATTCAGAAATGTAGTTTACATAAGAAGTTAACAACTTCTTATGAATATAGGAATGAATGCATTTTTAATAATGTCCAACCCAATTTTGTTGATCTCTGTGACTGTATAAAAGTGAGAGTGGCTATCTGGATGAGGTCCAAAGGCATTGGGGACTATTACTCAGTTAATGACGTTGTGTTCAATCTGCAGCAAGTTAGGAGATGCTTAGGGCCATCCAAATGTGAGCAGCAGAGGTGTGGGAGGTTAGAGCTTTATGTGCTGCAGGTGTGTGCTAGTGATTTTTGCTGCTGCATGTGTGTTTTTTGCTGCAGGGGTGTTGGTGTGTCATCTGTTTGCTGGGCTGAAACTACTGGAGCATTCTCTTGGAGGAAGAATGGGCTTGATTAAGCTATTGGGTGTATCTTTGTGTTGGCTTTTTAATTTCTGTTTTTTATTTCCATTGCTCCTTGCCTTTTGTTTGGTGCCTCACCAAACCTGGCAATGTGCTAGCATATGATTGTGCGTTCATTTTGGTACCAACCTAGTTGAAATGGTTATGTTCTGTTATGATGCTTTTTATTGATGTATTGTTGTTGTATTTGTAAGCTTATGATTCATCAATAAAAAGTTTTTCTTTTGCTAATATAAAAAAAAAAGTTAACAACTACTTATTATTGTACCCTAAACAAAGTGGCTAATGCCAAGACCACCAAACTTTTACTTGGCTTTCTTTGTTACCAAATCTTCAAGTTTGGGATAGCTAAGAACTAGAGTCAAGGAGGAAATAAAAACTTGACCAAACAACTCCTCCAAATTTCCCTCAAAATACACCCTTTTCATTCCACCAATGAAGCATGCTATGTTCAACATGGATAATATTCCCAAGGGAACCATGAACATCTCTGCACCTTGGAAGTTTCCAATTCACCCATCTCGTATTTTTGGAGCTTTTGTTGGTCAATGGCTTTGTTTGTCAACCTGAAATTCACTTTCATGATGCCTAACCACTTCAATAAGAAATCTAGTCATCCGAGTAAGTACGATGTTACACACCTTATTATCCATATTCTCTGTTCATTCCACCATGTCCTTAATGAGCCATCGGTAATACGGTATAGAGGACCTCGTATAAATGTTGGCAAAGCGACGATACATATACAGTTGCAAACACCGCAAACCATGGGTTTGAAACCTTAAATCAACAATTGAGATGAGAGCTAAAAATTTGGCATAGACACATGTGAATTAAACCCGAAGGGTATGCAATGATTACTAACTGATTCCAAAGCTCAATGCAAAAAGAAGTATCACATCCCACTTTAACTTCTAAACAAGATGTATTGTAGACTTTAAAATTTGCTTGGGAAACTAGGAGAGAAAAAAAGAAAAGAAAAGACAAAGTAGGAGAGAAAAATATAGAAATTTTTACATTGTTGGGATAATTTAGGAGAGGAATTAAGAGAAAATATTGAGTTAACCTCTCTTGTTTGGGGAAGATAAAGAAAATGAAAGAAAACTTTATAAAGGAAAGAAAACGAAAGATTCAAAATTTAATAAAAAATAATTCTCTCCATTTCTCTCTAATTAAGAAATCCAAATAGGTGATTTGGAAGGAGAGACTCCCTTTTCTTTTGATTTCTCTTTAAATCACCCAATACAATAAATGGGCTATTAGTTATGTTTTAGACAAGGAATTTCACTCTATATCATGATGGAAATTAGTGCAACAACAGTGACAATAACTGACCTTCCCTACTAAGTTATAATACGATGTGACGGTGAAGTCATCATTTTAGTATAGTAGGTGTAAATAAGAAAATAATAAGTCAAGAATGTGAAGAGAATTTACCTTGGGGTACAGGGGAATGCCACTGGAAAAGCACAACTGAGGAATGGTTCCACAAATCAAGAAAGAAATTTAGTGAAGGGGTGCAAATGTGATGCTTCCATGGAACATGCTCTGAAGAATTGACGTCCTTGACACACCATAGGTGAGAGGGCTAAACCTTGAGAAAGCAACTTGAAACAATCCAGAGCACCATTTCATAATTTGAATCATGGCATCCTTCATATCAACAGTGGTGCAACCCAAGAAACATGGCCTTTTTCGGTAAAGATAGACAGACCTCCATCCTTTACAATGCAAAAGATACCCTGTGAATGTACTCTCCAACAAGCTATCATAAGCGTAGCCTATCTGTTACCCAAGCAAAAACAAGAATTTTAAATGGTTTATTCAATTGAGCACTAATGTTTCCAAAAACACAAACGAAGAATAGTGTATTAGCCATTGAGAAAATATATAAAGCACTGTAATGAGATTTAGTACTTGCCTCTTTTCCCCATTTTGTGCCTTTCTCAAAGGTGCAGCCGGCCAAAATCATGGCCTCTTCTACAATAACATCTTGTGTAAATTCCTTTCCATTGATGTCTTGGTCATTTATATCCTTTAATGAAGCAATGAATTTGCTAGACAAACCAAATGTTTTTTTTGGCTCATGAAGAAAAGCACCTATAGACCCCAAAAAAGAAGGTTAAAAATAAGGAGAATAATTAAATGTAAGTCATATGTTATGCTAACTTAACATATAGAATAATACTTCTGAACACTAATATGATACCTTCTTGATTTGGAGTCCCATATAATGCCTTTCTCTTCAAAGAATAGCCTGTGCCTGTGAACAAAGGGCCTCTTAGCCCATCCATGACTTGCCACTTCATCTAAAATTGGAATATTTATTTATTAAACAAAATAGTCATAGGTAGAGGCTAAACCTTAAAATCTCGTATCCAATGTATTTAATGTTGTGGTTGAAGTGCAACAAATAGAAATTGGTTTAAGCCTATGTACCTTATAAGTTGATCTTGATTGGTTATCATTGATATCATTCTTGCTAACATTGTAGAACATTTGAGGATATTGAACAAAAGCAAGAGAGCGAGAGATCTCAGGATCAAGATGGAAGCACATTGCTTGTCGAGCTGAAGTTGGGTCATTGCAATACATATCACAATCCAATACTAGCACATAGGGGCCATTGCTCATTATCCCAGAAACTCGAAGCTGCAATAACAATGGCAATGCTATAATTGTCAATTTCAGAAACAAAAGATAGAGGGATTAGAAATGTGGTACGTAGGAGAGCATTGAGGGCTCCAGCCTTGAAACAATGAGGGTGAGATGGTCTTTTTTCTCGAGATACATAGACAAGAAGAGGCATCTAGTCCTGTTGATTATTGATTATTCCATGCTTTCTACTATCATGAATAACCTACAACATACAAGCAAATTGATTGGATGGTACGTTGATTTGAGCTAATTCTTGTACTCTAAAGTTGATATTGTCGGTATTAATAACGAAGAGGTAAGGTACATTGACATTTGATTAGGGTTTATGACAATTACAAAGATCTCTCCTAATATTTTTATGAAATGAAATTAACCTCCCTACTAGTTTATTTATGAATTGCACTTTGCCCCTTTTGTTAATTGACCTAACAGATTTTGTTAAAGTCGTCAAACTAATATATTTAATTTCTCATACACTTTTTCTTTTCATTGTGTAGACAAAAAAGTACCCTTAATACCCACTACAACATCTATATTTCTTTCAATAATGTCAAGGGCCAAGAACTTGGATCAAAAAAAATTGCGTGCGGTTCAAATTCAACACAATTTTTCTTGATCATTTTCAGTCTGAGTTTTTGATCCCTAACATTATTGATCTTTCCCTTCCTTCCCTACCAAACCACCATCCACCACGCCCCACCACACTTGCCATGTCCACCCCACGATCACCATTGCTAGCCCCACACCCCACAAACCCCCACCAATGAGTAAACATTTCCCACATAGCCTGTCTTGACAATGAGTAAATATACTCCCGACCCACAACCCAAGATCAATAAATCCACAACTTCTCACGATTTCAGAAACTCCCAAGGACTATCTAAGTTGTCATAAGTTAAATAGCTAGCAATAATCGAGGTCCATGTAATAGTATCTTTCTGGGGAATTTCGTCGAACAACTTGAGAGCAACATCCAATATTTGCATTTGGCAATACGAGTACTGATTTTAATCAGAGCCAACACAGATCCAAATCAATCCCATCACCAACCATCTCTTTCACACATTCGGCAACACATCCCTCATCATCCATCTTCCAAACCACGATCACCGTTAAAGCCGTACCCACATTCCCACTGGGTTTGGTTTGGATTTATACAAATTAGAAGGCGCTGGAGAAATCAGTGGCGATCTGGTGGTGGTCCTGGTGATGGGGGGTCGGGTCGGGCTGGGTATGGTGAGTCCGTGTTAGGCATGTGTGAGAAAAAAATTGGAATAAAAAAAAATTACCAAAAAAAAAAAAAGATTAATTACCAAAAATTCTTTTCTACATATTTGTCCATAGCTTAAGTTCTGTTAAAAAACAAAAAAGTCCCGTTTATAAGTAAAAAACGTTTTGCCCACAGACTCTCTCTCTCTCTCTCAATCGTCCATCACTCATCCACTCCGCACTTCTTCTATTATCTGGGACTCACCATCTTCTACGCAGACTACATACTATTACATTCCCTTTCAGTTTCTCACTTTCATTTCAACAATAAGCACAAACATCTCTCTCTCTCTCTCTCTCTCACACACACACACACAAAACACACATTTCTCTCTCTAAAAAGATGGACAGTTCGTCGAGGCAGGGAACCATGAAGAGAACGCCACCGCCACTCTCCTTAACCTCTCCATCTCCAGCCGTGAGACCCTCATGTCCACCCGCGGCCTCCTCGATGCCCTCTCCCACGTTCTCCGTAACCCAACCTCCGAGTCCGCCGCCGAGTCCGCTGCCGCCACCCTCTACAGCCTCCTATCGTCGACGGTAAACGCCCATCTCGTGCCAAGTGACGCCTGGTGGTGTTTTTTGAGTTCCAGTTTGACGTTTGGATTTATTAATTTCGCTTGATGTAAGCTGGATATATATATATATATACATATGTGTGGCCTCAAAATTTGATAAAGGCTTATTTTGAAGAAAAAAAAAATCAGTTTATTTGTTTGTTGATTTATTTGAATTATCAGTGTATTTAGTTTTATAATTTTAAAATTGAGAATATTATCAGTTTAAAATTGAAAAAAAAATGATGATATTTTCAGTTTTAACACTGAAAAAAATTTAAAAAATTCTCAATTTTACTGAATATTTTTAAAAAATTTCTCAATTTTTTCATGATTAAAATTGAGAATATTATAAATTGAGAATATTTTCAATTTCAAAACAGAGAATAATTTCAGTTTATAATTATCAAAATTAATAAAAAAATTAAAATTTTTTTTTTTCTGAAAATATTGTCAATTTTAAGAAATTTTTCATTTTTTTCATTATGAGAAATAATAATATTATAAATTAAGAATGTTCAAATTAAAAACAAGAGAAGACGAGGGACAAAGCTAGAAAGAGCAAGCCAATGATTTTGATCCATTCAAGGAGAGAGTGTCTTTCTCTCAAATTTTATTATTTTCTTTAATAATTCATCAAGTTTTCTTCACCAACCAAACAACCAAGCGTCCAAAAACGAGGTGAAGAGAAAGTGGATGACTCAGGAAGATATTCCCGTCGTTTTTTGAAAGAGACGCATCCTAACCACTCTCTCTCTCTCTCCAACCCAGTTTATATATATCTTTGTATTCTTTTGGGGGAATACTTTGCTCGTCAGACTCGAAATCGAAATCCAGGACCATTTGATTTTCAAATTCAGGTTTAGAGGGTAATTTGGTCTATTAAAAATTAATAAGACTTGAAAGAGTAAATAATTTTATCTAGGACTTAATGGATTATAAGTTCACAAAATGAGACTTGTATGTAAATGACCAAAAAAAAAACTCAAAATTTGATTTTTTTTTTTTGATAAATATAATTTTTTAATTTTGGGTAAATTACATTGACACCTCTTAAAATTTATGTTTATTACAGTTCTCTCCTCACATTTTGGAAATTATATCTTATTTTCTGAGATTTAAAGTTTCATTACAGATTGCTCCCTTCAGCAATTTATTTTTTTTAAATACCAATTTTACCCTCACTGGGTAAATTATATTGGCACCCACCACATTTTAGAAATTACAATCACCTCCCCAAGGTTTAAAGTAGCATTACCAATTGCCCCATCGGTTAGTATTAGTTGAAAAAAAAAATAATTGGAAAAAAAATTATTTGAAAAAAAAATTAAATGAAAAAAAATTTGTTAATCAAATTTTTAAATTTTTGTTTAAAAACCAACGTAAATTCATTCCTCATATTTACAAACTGAGATAATCATTTATCAACCAAAAAAATTATCAAATAAGTTTTTATGACAGTTTTTAAAAATTTTATAAATATAAATTGAAAACTGAAAACGAAATGGTTACCAGACATGTCTCAGATGGTAAAAATATCATAAAATTAACAAATAATTAAATAAGTTACCAACGTAAGAAATAACTTATCAAAAGATTCTTAGGCTATGTATTATTTGATTTTTAGAAAAAAAATTTAAAAATTAAAAATTAATTTGGTTAAGAAATAAAAAATAAAAAATAATTATCATTTTTATATAATTTTTATCTTTTCGAGTGTAAAAAACATAAACCTCAAGGGTGTTAGTGTAATTTTTATCTTGCATTGGTTTTTAAACAGAAATTTAAAAATTTGACTAACAAAGTTTTTTTTCAATTAATTTTTTTTCCAATGAATTTTTTTTCAATTAATACTAACCGATGAGGCAATTGGTAATGCTACTTTAAACCTTGGGGAATGGATTGTAATTTCTAAAATGTGAGGGGTGTCAATGTAATTTACCCAATGAGAGAAAAATTGGTATTTAAAAAAATTAAATTGCTAGAGGGAGCAATCTGTAATGAAACTTTAAAGCTCAAGAGAGGGATGTAATTTCCAAAAGGTGAGGGGGTGAACTGTAATAAACATAAATCTCAAGGGGTGTCAATGTAATTTACCCTTTAATTTTTAATAAATTTTAAAAATTAAAAAATAAAAAAAAAACTCAAAATTTGACCCTTATAACAAAATAAATTTTTAATTTTTTTTATTTAAACCCTAAATTTTTTTAGAAAAAAGTAGTGATAAATCCAATTTAGAGAGTACTTGAGCCGTTAGGTCTACTAAATATTTTTTGTTGGTGACAGGTCCACCATTTGTAAAATAGTTTGGTGATAAGTCATTTTGTTATTTTTGGAGGATATTTTATTTCCAATTTTACCTATTATCTATGTGTTTAATTTTTCTCACTATCTATTTAATTTTTTTTAATTATTTGTTCAAATATTTTTTTATCTGTTTAATTTTAATTTTTTTTAACCTACCTGTTGTCAATTTTTTTTTTTCATATTCAATTTTTTCCATTATCTGTTGAACTATGTATAATTTTTTATTCTCTGTACAAATTTTCATCTATCTGTCAAATTTTTTTTAATATGTTTTTTATTCCAAATTTTTATATGTACGTTTTTTTGATCTATTCAAATTGGTTCTATCTTTTCAAATTTCAGCATTTCTCCTTCTCATTCTATCTGTACAAATTTCTTCACACTTTCAATGTTTTTTTATCTGATCTGTTTAATTGGTCTACCCTCTATAACACAACCATCGGAGTCTCAGATTCTGATCTGTTCAACACAACCTTTGATATTGAAAATTATTGAATCCTCATAAAGCAACGATTTTTTTTATGGCATTTTGCTACGTTGTTTTTCAAACCAAAACAAAAACTGAATAGGAAAGCTCAGAGATTTAGAAGAGTTCAAGCACAATCATTGATTTTGTGAACCTAAACAAAACCTACAAGATTATAAACAAACAATCAAACAGATTAGACTTGGTCCAAATAACATGACAACTTAAAATAATTATTGAATAAATGTATTGTATTGTATAGTTTCGATTTTCAAAGAGTGATTTTGCAGTAGTCTTATTTGACATTGCAAGGACGATTGGTGGTGGTTATGGAGATCGTGACTCGTTTGGAGAAGAAATCCTCCATCAGACCTCTGTTTGATCAATCCATTATAGCAACTTCCTTTGCATATATATATATATATATATATACATACACGAGTATAAGAAATTATGGCGAGCGTCGGTGAGGAGGACAACGACGCTGTTCTGAGCGACATTGAGGTCGACAATCCGGTGCGGATTTCCATTAAGTCGCCGGAGAATTTGACAGAAGGGCTTACTGGTGAAGTTCAGCGATTGGCAGAGAGAGAAAGGCAACGACGACGCTGCTTCTCTAAGGAGAGAGAGAGTGTAAAAGAAATTGATAGAGAGAGAATAAATTGTATGTATTATTGATTGATTGTTATTGATTGATATATTGTATGTACATTATATAGGAGATGTGGGTGGAGAGTGGAGTAGGTGTAGATGTAGTGGAATAGGTGGAGTAGGTGGAGTAGGTGTAGGTGTAGTGGAATAGGTGGAGTAGGTGGAGTAGGTGTAGGTGTAGTTTTAACAGCCCCCCTCAAACTCAAGGAGGATAGACACTAACCAACTTGAGTTTGGAGAGAGTAACAAAATAGGAAAATAAACTGACAAATAAAAGAAAATAGGATAGGAGACACTGTATGGTGGTGTCAAATCATTGGTGAAGACACTGTATGGTCGTGTCGGACCGTTGTAGCAGGACAGTTTATGGGGTCATGCCGGACCGGTGGAAAAGCTAACCGGAATCAATGTCGGGACAGTTTATGGGGTTATGCCAGACCGATGAAGGAGCTAACCGGAATCAATGTCGGGACAGTTTACAGAGTCTTGTCGGACCCTTAAAAAGGCGCACCCTCAAAAGGTGCGCCCAAACTTTCAAAAGGCGTGCGATCAAAAGGCGTGCCCAATTCATAAAAAGGTGTGCCGGACATGATGGCGAGACGCGTAACCACCTTGGCTTGCGCGCCCATGCTGTCGTCTAGCGCCGAGCGGCGCACGATACGCGTGTCTGCCTTGGCTATTTAACCAAGACGGAGGCTGAGGCTGAGACAAAAACCTGCTAAAAACCTCGGAAAAACTCTTCGTTTGCTAAGAGAGATACTCTGTAACACTCTGTTGCCCAGAAAATGGCCTCTTCGTCCCGTGGTCTGCTCACTCTCTTTCCAGACCTCAACGAGTCCACAAGAGAGATAACTGGTGCATGTGCCCTTGAACCTCAACCAAGCGTCCCTGAGTTTGCTCCGTTGACGTTTCCGATGCGGTCTGTGGAGCAAAGAATGGCAGCGCAATCAGATATTGAGGCCAATCAGTATACATTGAAGTCATGTGTGGAGACCATGACGGCAGTCACAAACTTGTCGCACCGGCTTCAGAGTGGGACAAATGAGGTGCAGCAGTTAAACGCCCAACTAGCTCTGCTCCAACGCATGTATAAGGATGCGCGAGCAGAGATATGTGTGCTAAAAGTGGAAAACAAGGAACTGAAGCGGAAGGCCACCGTTATGTTCCGATTTTGAGGTCCGCCATATGCTGCAGTGGAGGAGCAGGGGGATTGAACGTGCTCGGTGGATTAGGAAGCACGGAGGTAGCACCGTCAAGGGCCGCCCAGGACGGAGGCAAGAAGAAAAGACCGGCGGAAGAGGCGAAGAAGTGAGGTCGGTGTGTGGCCGTCTGCAGAAAAGAAAACAAAGCTGTTGTGGTTGTGGGGGTTGGATTTGCGTTTTTTTTTTTTTTGTGTGGAGAACTGTGATCAGGGTTGATCCCTAATATAAATAAAACAAAGTTGTTGTGCAAATCTGTATTTTTTTTTTTGGTGTGTTTGGAAAATAATAATAATAATAATAAATAAATAAAATGAAGTGTTGGAAGCCAGTGGAATCAATGAAGGCGAGTATAATATATTTTAGTGGGGAAAAGAATGAGGGATAGGTTGATTATATAAGAAAATAAAAGTGGGTATGGTATTCGTTGGTAGCCACGTATTTGGCAGATCAAACACTTTGGGAAAAGGTGAAAGAAAAGTTGAAAAGATGAAGGGAGAATGGGGACAAGCCCGCGTGAGTGAAAGATGGGTTTAAAGAAAGTGAGGGAGTGGGTTGATTAAAAAAAAAAAGAATAGTGGGTTTGAAAGTGGAAATATGAGAGAGAGAGAGAGATGAGATGAATCTGTTTGTTTTGTTTGTTTAGACCTCTGTTTGATCAATCCATTATAGCAACTTCCTTCCATTTTCATTGGAACATGATGAGAGAGACGGTAGTAACCAAGACTAGTCTAGAACAACCAACAGAAGGCAGCCCATCCCAACACCAAGCTTCCAACCACCATCTGCATGCACTTCAACTTCTCTGTCCCACTCTGATCTGCGAGAGCTGGACCGGGCGAGATCGAGTCAGAACTTGGACCAGGGGCTTCGCTCAGCGGTGCAGGAGGGCTGAGCATCTCTGAAGATGGTGCCAGCGAAGGTGCATTGTGCTTCTTCTTAGTCTTCTTCTTGCTCGGAGCCGGCGATGGAACAGCCACAGCCGGAGGAGAAGAAGCCGGCACCGGAGGAGCAACAGCTGGCGCGGTGGCCGGAGAAACAGCTGGCGTGGTGACCGGAGCCGTAGCAAATGAGCTTATCGGAACCGGAGCCGGTGGTGAGCTCACTGGTGTCTTGGCTGGCGGAGATGATACAGGAGCTGGAACAGTTGGTGTCGTCGGAGCCGTAGCTGGAGGAACTGAGATCGCTGTAGGCGGGGCTGAAGTTGGAGCCGTCACAGGAGTTGGAGATTTAGGCTTCGAAGGCGTCTTCACTAGAGCCGGAGATGTAGGCTTCGAAGGCGCCGTCGCAGGAGGTGAGGAAGGAGTCACTATAGCCGCCGGAGTTTTGGTCGGAGAAGAAGCCGGAGACTGAGCTCCGACGCCGGACACTATGAAAAACAGAAATGCAAAAGCGAGCGCAGGGTTCCGAGCCATGGCTTGTTCTAGAAAGAGAAAGTAGAGAGAGAGAGGGAGTGAAGGCATGTGTAGAGGTCCGGCGGGCGGCCAAGGCGAGGCTGCCGCTCGCCGGGGAAGCAGAATTACTAGCTTCTTAACCTTGCTCTGATACCATGTAAAAGAAATTGATAGAGAGAGAATAAATTGTATGTATTATTGATTGATTGTTATTGATTGATATATTGTATGCACATTATATAGGAGATGTGGGTGGAGAGTGGAGTAGGTGTAGGTGTAGTGGAATAGGTGGAGTAGGTGGAGTAGGTGTAGGTGTAGGTGTAGTGGAATATGTGGAGTAGGTGTAGATGTAGTGGAGTAGGTGGAGTAGGTGTAGGTGTAGTTTTAAAAGAGAGAGAGAGAGAGAATCGTCAAATCAGCATCCTCCGTCGTCACTCTCGGTGGACCTCAGCTACTGTATGTGTGAGGGCATCGATGTACTGAAACAATGATGAGTGAATCATGTACTCCCAATGTGTTCCACAGCTTGACTGATCGATCTTTGGAGGTCGAAACGATTTGACGATTGTCAATTGAAAAAGCGATGACGACAACATCTTTGGTGTGTCTGACGAAATGGGGAGCGATGGTGTTAGTGGCGAGGTCTCAGAGGTGGAGCTCGCGTTCACTAATAAATGTTATGTTTGATTGAAAGATTTGATAATGGATTTGAAAAACAAAGGTAAAATATGTATGAAATTACGTGAAATATAGATATATTTTGTTCATATTTTACCTTCTTTTTTTTTTTCTTTCCAAATCCCTTCTCAAATCTTTCAACCAAATACAATGTAAGTGAAAGTCGTCGGTGAACGGTAGTGAGAGAGGGCTACGATGGAGGTGGCAGTTCAAAACCATGATCTTAGAGAGAAGAGAGAGAGAGAGATCTGAGAGGGGAGAGAAATGTGAGATTTGAGATAATTAAAACGCGTAAGAAGGGGGAAGGAAATTGAAGGGCAGTTTAGTTATTTGGTTAGAGTTTGTCTATGTAAGCAAATAATTGCAACGCTTGTACTTTTGACATGATAAAATTTAAATTTGAATTTTTGAGCCGAGCGCCCTTTCTTTTTATTTCCTTTCAATCAAAATAATTTATATATTTTTGTTAAGTAAACGACAGAAAAATAATATTTTAGTCATTGAACTTAACAAAAAAAAATATATATATTTTAGACATTTTCTATACACTTAAATTGAATCTAAAATCACTTCTTTTTTTTTGTCAATTTTACTTAACAAAATTAAGCTAATGGTTTATATTAAAAATAAATCAAAATTTTAAGAGTTAAATTAACAAAATTAAAACTCAGGATGTATTTTTTACAATGGTCAAACTTTGAGATTTTTTCAAAATTTTTTTAAAGAATACTATTTTATTTTTTTTGTCAATCAACATAAGAGGAATTATAAATATTAAAAATATTTACATCATACTCGCCTACAATACTTAAAGGGCATGTTTGATTGGAAGGATTAAAGCATGAGATTAGGATTATTAATCCGTGAGCCCAATCATCCTATGTTTGTTTTGACATTTTGGTTTAGGACTATTAATTCAATGGATAATTAATCCAACAAATTTGTAGGATTATTAGTAATGGGGTAGGGGTGGGATAGTTAATACCACACTAATTTGATAGGATTATTAATACCTCACTATTAGTATTGTGAATCAAACATTATGCAATTAGTAGGCCAAAAATGTTAACCTCGATGAAATGTTAACACTGATAAAGGGGGATTTTTCTCATTTTAAAAATTTAAGGAGAAATTTATGTAATTTCATGAAGTTTCAAAAGAGGTTAATCTAATTTACTTTGAAGAAAAAAGATTGCAAATATAATTTGCAACTTATAACATTATTTTAGGAGTTAATTACACTTTTTAACCTATATAATTTAATCTAGATTCACTTCTTTAAAAAAGATTGCAAGTAATATATATTGTTCAAGAGGTTAAAATAATTAATAAAATAAAATGTTACATTTTATATATTAATTAATTAATTTTTCTCTTACAGCTACCTATTCAATTACAAAATTTTTTTTTTACAAATCTCCCAAATACAACTTTTCTTCTTCTCATAAAATAGTTAAGTTTATTAAGTCAAAAATTAATTAAAATAATCAAACAATTTCAAAAAATCAAACGATGACCAGTCTACTTTTGTAGACAAACAAAATTTCTCTATGCAATTAAATTAATTTAATGGAAGTCAGCACCTTACAACATCTTTGCTACATACCTGGATTTGAGCAGGTCGATCATGCAAAACATGATCTGCAATCCCATCACATTGTTCTTTACTATCCTTCTCCACATTTTTCTTGAATAATTTGTATGTTGACTGCAAAACCAAATTAATATGATACAATATTAGTACGTCTCATAGCCATGCTTTTCACATTATATATATTATATTAGTGATCATGATCATGATGATGACGCTAGTTACTTGCTTTAATCACAACCTACATTAATATTAATCATAATTAAGAATCACTCACCCAATCTGAGATCTTTGTGTTCAAAATTGTGAAAGTGTCGAGAGATATGACACTCACTGAGGCCTTGTTTAAAAATAGACTATTTTAGTAATTTTTTGATTTTTTAGCTAAAATATAAGATAAAAAAATTAGTATGTTTGAAATGATTTTTTTAGTTTTTTACGAAAAGATGTACAAAAAGTAGAGAGAAAAGAGATTTTTTAACTTTTTGGTATAAGTTATAGGCTTTTTAATTTTTTAGTATTTTTTTAGCTTTTAGACCAAAATTGTGGCATGCCAAATGAGGCCTGAGTAGTTGAAATTTTTGACAAGATATTATAAGCTCCGTTTGGGATACACTTTTGGGCTAAAATAGCCATATAGGACAAAATATTGTATTCAATCTATAATCATTTCATTTTTTCTCTCACAAAACTCAAAAAAACCAAAAAAAACTATCCCAAACTAGTCACAGGCTAAAATAATCAAAAAGTCAAAAAACTGACCTACATCCCAAACGAACTCATAATATAACTCAAATCGCATATGAAGATAGGCAATTAGGATTGATTAATTTTTGAAATAAACACGTATATAACATAATTTGACAATACAAATGTCAAATATGTTAGATTAGTATCAAAAACTCAATAATGGTGATTTTTTTAGACATGATGCATTAACAAGACACGAACATCTAGGAACTAAAAATGAAATAACATAATAATATAAAATAATAATTAAATTGAGTTAGTATTCAAATAATTTTGATACAACATGAATACGACTTAACATGATGTCCACGTACCATCTCAAATAAAGTTACATAAATATGATTCCCTATTCGACATTTCTAATAAATATTTTGTTTGGCTGTTAAAAAGTTGTAAATAAAATAAGGTGGACAACTCTTACCTTCCGTTAAGAATATCTTCAATAAATTTGTTAAAAAATTTAGATAAAAAATTAATCACCTTGTTTGATTTGAGAGTTTTGAATTTACTTTTTAAAAAATTGAATTTTTTTGTTTTTCATTTTTTTTCTATTGATTTTTTTAATATTTTAAGTTATTTTTTAATTTTTAGATACACTTAACATAAATATACTTTAAAAGTATAATATTTGTGAAAAAAAATATTTAAAAAATTCACTAAATCTCAAAAATAAAATATATATATATATATATATAAATTCAGTACATTTTTTGTATTCTTGTGTATTTATTGATTTTTTAAAATATTTTTTTACAAATATTTTATTTTTTAGATGTATCTAAGTAAGGTACATTTAAAAAAGTAAAAAAATTACTTAAAATTTTAAAAATATTCACTAAAAACAAAAAAAATAAGAAAAATAAGAAACTCAATTTTTAAAAAATTGAATTTAGAAAATTGAAACCAGACATAGTGAATATTGTTATTCTAATGATGAGAATCAAAATTTTCATCAATTTTTTTTTTAAAAATATCTAATCTATCCTAAAAACCTTATTAAAAAAAAAAAACTCATCTCTAATGGTTCATCTTTTAATAATTTCATCAAACTTACAGTAAGAAACAAAAAATTGTTGCAAATTTAATGACAGATTTAAATTTATACATTTTGATGAAATATTTGGTAAAAATTTGATTTGATATGAGTTTGATAAAATAATTGAATCTCAATTTTATCAAAATTTTCATGAAATTTAAATTTAATAAAGGATTTGATAATAGTTTGAAGATATCTAACAAAACCACGTAATCTCAATAGCACGCAATAACATATTTACATCAAACATTCTGGTAGAGAGTTAATAATAATGGGTTTGTTTAGGAAGTCGTTTTTTAAGTAGTTTTTTAACCAAAATATGGGGTGAAAAAGATTGAAATATTTAGGAATAATTTTTTTTTATGAAAAATTATGTACAGAGTAGAGCGCATGTCAAAGAATCATTAACACTTTTATATGAGTTGAAAATCTTTGAACTTTACTAAAATTATCTTATCCCAAACAGACCATAAATATACGGAAAACTTCACTCTACTCCTATAATTCACTGTGTTTAATTTATTTTCCTATCGTTCCAAATTAAACATAAACACAAACATTAAAGAGTTTTTTATTGATAAATCCATTCTAGAGTTGTTATAACCAATTAGGTTCATAAAGTAATATTATAACCTGATTAGTCCCATAAACTTTTCTTTTTATTTCATAAAGTCCATTTTTCTAATTTAATATATTTACCTGGACTATTTTGCCCCCATATATATATATATATATGGAAAATTTGGCTATAAACCTCCTTTACCTTCCTTTCATTGTTAGAAGGACTAAGAAAAAAATTATACTTTGTAAACCCCCTCATAATTATAAAATCTTGCATAAAGGACAAAATTTATTATTTAAATATTTTATCAGACTATTACACCCTCACATATACACAATCTAGATACAAAATTTATCTTCTCTCTCGTGTCTCACTTCTAACCCTAGCTTCCTCCATGGCCGGAGCTGTGTCATTCCTAAGCTCTGACGATCTCTCGATGCATCTTCTCAACTCTCCTCC